TCTCATGCAGAAAGAGCAGGATTGTCCTTGTACACACCCCTAAATTATCCCATCCAGAGTGAGTTGGGTGTTTAGGTGTTCTCATTGTTTGGAAATTTGTCGTTGGGAAAATAGTAACAACCTCACAGCACATAGTTCTTTGCTGTGTCTAAGTTGATTGCCAGTCCCTTGAGGCAGAGGCTGTCTGGGTTTGCCTTCCACAGAGCCAAACACATTGTCAGCACTCAATTAGATGCGTATATACGGTTTCATGCTGACTCAGACCTCAAAGATAGCCACTATTTTTTTCTTGTTGAGCATCCCTGCGTAGAGAGAGCGAGCTATTTTTACCTGAACCTTTCTAGCATTATTCCTGATAGGAAAAAATAAACCCAGTGTGCTTAAGTCAAATCCAAAAGAAGGGATCTTTTCTTGGAGGTGCCCGTGATCCTCTCAATCTTCCAGTAACTGAGGAAATGCCTCTCTTCCTTCTCAGTTGTGCTACATGGACAACCTGCTGGCAGGAGAAGCGCCTCTGAGACACAGTGGGTTGGTCAATCCCCATAAGGAAAGAGCAAGTGAGACAGAGGCACCAGTGTCTTTGGAATCAAGGGGTGGAAGGCTGAGGGTCAGAGCCATTTCAAGGAACGGTTGTAGAGTCAAGCTGGTAAATTTTTTGTTTGGAGAGAAAAAAAAAGAGAAAAATAAGAACAATGAAGTCTAGTTCCAGTAGGCAGGAGCTTTTTGTGACTATGAAATATAAAGTCTGCAGTTTCTCCCTCTCCCCTTATCTCCTTAACTTCTGCTGTCTGGGGTTTACTTTTCCACGGGCTACACAGACAGCTCTTGAGAGGGGAAGGTGTGGACTGAACGACAGCTCCCTGGCCACAATCCTTGAAAGGTGACTGAAGCTACAGTACGTGAAATAAGCAATGGAGGCTAGGGAGGATGCTTTCCTTCTCCGGTGTGTGTTTGGGTGGGAAGTGTAAGATTTTTGTATTATTTTTAAGCTGCACATTTTTGTAATTCCACCGTGCACAGAAGCAGCTGGGCAGTGCTGGCTGGGAAGGTGCTTGTGCACCTGTACAGGGTGGGACAGGCATTCAGAGGCAGAAGGAGACACCAAACCATCCTGTTTGGGCAATTAGACTCTTCCTGCATTCTCACCGCAGTTGGCATTTCAGCAGCTAAGCCACAAAGGGAGGTGTAAAGACAAATGTGATCTCCTTTTGAAAATACCTGTACTTAAAAGAACCTCCCTCCTGGGATGGCATTCATTATGTGTCTGTTTATTCATCCTTTGCTCACATGATAATTTGCTCCTGCAGAAATTATCTCGGCTCCACCCAGTGCTGGGACTGAGCCACTTCTGCTGGCACTGTTGGAGATCATTTACCAAAAGAAATCAGCTGTACAGCATACGTAATGGCCACTGACATAGCTTTACCTGCCCATGGCTGCTCCAGACACGATCGCTACATTTTCAGTAGCTCATCCCACATCCCAATGGATTTTTAACTCTGCCCCGGCTTGCACTGTATGTCTTCTCAAGAGTTGGTAATATTCTGAGATGGTTTTAAGTGTAAATGGGAAGAGGAGCTGTTGATTGGAAAGAGGCAAATGAAACGCCAGCCTCTGTCACAGCGCTCTCCTAATAAAAAAGATTTGTGGCAGTGGGTTGAGCTGAAGCTGCAGCTGCTGTGGTGTCACTTGGATATTAATTGGGGAGTGGGTGAGCACAAGGAGCAGAAAATGTTGTGAAAGAGAGAGGAGCCAGACAGGAGGAGGCTGGCACAAGGGCCAGGCTCTTTTACTGGAATGCAGCCCTCTGCGTTATGCTGCAGCCATCTTTCTCTACAAATTAATCCTGTTTCTGCTGTCCCTCTCTCCAACTGAACGTGCTCACAGTTTTCTCCTTCACTGTGTTTAGTTGTCACAGAACCTCAGTTCCTGGTCTGGAGTATTTCAGGTCTCCATCCCACCTGGTAACGTGCCCTAGATTCATTCATCTCTAGTCTGCCAACCCAGTGTGTTTTTCAGGAGTCTCATCTTTCATTTGCAGGAGTAATTGCAAAAATTGATTCATGGGAAATGCCTGTAACAGGCAGATCCTTTTGACAGACCACACAGCCATCATATTCTGCATTTATTTGAGTCAGTCAATGCTCTGATGCATATTTGGGTCATAAATACTCTGATATAAATTGCATTTATTATTATGACAGCTGTGTTCCATTACCTATTATTTATGAGGTTCTGTTGTCCTTTCATTTTACACCTTGTGGAGCTGTCAAGTCAGCTGCTTACCGGTGACAAAGCTTACAGCTCAGTTCAGAATCTTCCAAAAATAAATTCTCCAAAGGGATTTGAGTAACAGCAGGATGTATGTTGTTGGAAAGGTGTTGCACGATCTTTTTTTCATTTGTTTTATTGGAAAGAGGAGGTTTGTGCTTTTTCCCTGTTTCTGCCCAGATTCCAGAATTAGAGTTTGCATTTATGATCCAGAGGTCATTGAAGCTAATAATCCCAATGATTAATGTGAATTTTGGATCACACCCTCCATGTCTCATAGCTGAATTAAATGGGTTATTTGAAATGGTGGGATTCTGACTTGGATGTTTCTAATTTTCCCTTAGAAGCTTTTTTAGCTTCATGTCTTTTTACATCATAAAAATGGCGTAATATCTGATTTCGAGATGAATTTCAGTGTCCTTCCAAGGGTAAGGTCAAATTGCAGTGGGCACACTGCTCTGTACGAGTCAGAATAATTTTCTGTTCCTCATTCCCAATAAATAGTCACATATCCGTCGTGCCAGGTTGTTGCACCAGCTTTGCAAGGTGCCGAGCACTTTGGTGTTAATTCAGGAAAGCACTTAATCATGGAATTGATGACTGTGAAGTGCCTAATATAAGTGTGTGCTTAAGTGCCTTGTTGGCCTGGGGCCAGTGCAGATGAACCCTTGCAGAGTTTGTAAGCCACTCCCGGTCTACTAGAGCCAAGTTCACTGGAGATGGAGGGTTTCAGGGTTGTGCAGCTCAGGGAGCTGGACTGTGCTGCAGGGGTGGGTGTGCACGGCAAAACTGTCCCTGTGTAGGAAAAAGAGCATTTACCCAGGGAATCCCTGCCCGGCAACTCGGCAGGGAAGAGCAGGGGCAGCAGCACTGCCCCAACTTCCCAAAGGCATCAGCCCCACAGACTCGCATGGGGACTGGCTTCCTGGGGATAGAGTGCCAAGCTGGGTTTCAGTCTAGTTGTGTAGTTTCTCTGTGAAACACAAGAGATGTAAACACTGCGTAAGTGCTTGTAGTTTTATTCAACAGGTTTTGTTTGCACAAGGATTTGAGGACAGATGCAGGGACTGAGCGTTCTGCCTATCAATAGGGTTTGTGTGCTAGCTTAACAGCAACATTGTTCATAGCATTACTGTTGAAATATATGGGACATAATGTTGCATGTGCTTCTTTTCATGTCTTAACATTTCTGTATTATCTCCATTTATTTTACTCTAAAAAGAGTAAATCTGTAATTCTGATCAAATAGCACAGTGCAAAATTGATATATACACAATCATATGGCTCACAAAATATAGATGCAAATGGATATGTATTATTTATAAAGCAGCTTTGACATCTTAATATACTAAAAAAGAAGAGACATTTAGATAATTCCATAGTTCAGCGTTCTGCATGTTTTTGAGCTATCATATATCATCATCCATGAAAAATTCATAATTTGGGCCTTAACCACTTCAATTTTATGCACACATTCCAACCAAAGGGGTGTGTGTCCTCTGCTCTTACCTTTTTTTTTTTCCTTCCTGTTCTACTCCCCCACCCCCTTTTATACAATTAAAAGTAGACGCCTAGGGTTAGACAATGCCAAAAGCCCACCCTGCCTCCCAAGAATTACTTGATAATTAATGAGAGTCATAACTCTGTAATTAAAGAAGGTTCTCCAGGTATTTTAGAGTCCCACCCAAATCCTTCTGGGTTTGCTGAACTCAAGACAGTCAGTAAAAGTCAAAAAGTTCATACTACACATTAGTAAAATCGTAGTTGTTTTCATCCAGATCTCTAATGTGGACAGACAAAAGCCGGATATAAATCAGCTTAAAACCTGGTAATTTCTGCCAAGTTCGAAATTAATCATGAATATGGTGTGAGTGCCTCATTTCAGGTGTTTTCAGGGGTGTAACTGGCCAGACTGTTTTGAACTCTGAAGTCAAGGAGATTTTGCAGAGGTTATTCTATCAAGAGCCTCGTTCCTACATGACAGAAGGCCTTGGGTTAATGCTTTGGGTTTTGGGGGGGGAAGCAAAGGGGAGAGGTGGCCATGTAGTCCTTCAGATGAGGGCATTCCTGGCCTGTTAGGGCTTTGTAGGTAAAATCTCTTTCTTTTAGTGAAACTGTTGCTCAGTGATGGGTTTAAATTCAAGTTCAGTGCTGGTGAAAGGACCTAATGAGGGGAGAGGAGTCGTCTAACTACAGGGCTGGTACCAGTCGGATGATAGTAGTGTTTACTGGTTTTCCTCACTGTTTCATGGTTGCCTTAAGATATTGCTAGGAAGGATGAAAGAACTTAAGTTTTGTGGCCTACTTCTCTCTGATCTCTGCCGCAAGAGCCAACAAGGAGCCCTTGGTTTACTTTTTGTTTGCTTGAAATTACTTCCAACCTCCACTTCACCTTCTCAGTGACTTTTAGGCAGAATCTCTTAATTTATTCTGTCCTGATTTTGCCCATCCCCGGATTTTGAGCTCATAGAGAACTGTGAGGGGCTGGTTCTTTCAAATGTAATATGAGTTCACTGCTCTGGAGTTTCTCTGGGAATGAAAAATCTGTTTGATTAAGGAAACACTGACTTCTGAAAGCCCGTCAGACAACGCAACTTTATAAGTCGGGGCTGCAGAATGTCTAATTAAATGGAACTGCTCTCTAGAGGATTTGGCTTGCAGAAAATTAGTTTTCATGTTCTTGGCCTGATGTTTATTAAACGTTTCTTTCCTTTTTCTCTCCTGTGCAGTTTTCATCTGTAGTTTCATGGTTGCGGCACCTATCTTTGGTTACCTTGGTGATCGTTTCAACAGAAAGATCATTCTCAGCTGTGGGATCTTCTTTTGGTCAGCTGTCACTTTTTCAAGCTCCTTCATCACTGAACAGGTAAGATCTTTGCAAAGGCACTTTGCAGGGTGTCCTGAAAAGATGGGCAATATGTCCCTAAAAATCTCCTCACTCCCCATCTCGGTCTGCTCAAGGGGAACGTATCCCTCTTGTATGTATTTATCATATAGTATCTTGCATTACCTGACCTTTTGTGGGTGAAGTGTGATGTGTGTAATGGTGGTGAAAGCTGTTATTCTTTAATCATGCACATCCGTAAAAAATAACAGGCGAAGCATACCTAAGCAAGAGTTTCTGTTGACATAAGGGCTTTGTTTTGAGGGAGATCCTAAAGAAACTTTAAAAGGTTTTAAAAAAGACTTGAGAAAAATAGTCCATGGCTATATAGTGATTCTCTTGTCTTCTGATATGTAACAGGAGTTTGTTGGAAGTCTGCTTGTGGTATGTGGAATGACAGAATGCATCCAGCAGTAGGTTTACAGATGAACTTTTTTTCTTATCCAAGAGAGGCGGTGAGGGTGGATGATAGCATGGAGATTAGAGACAGTTTCAGCTCCTTTGACACTAGTTGATGGATATGTCTGGGGAACTGATGATGGAGTTGTCAGGCTCCCTTAATTTTGTCAAGCTATGCACAGCATCCCTCACCTGTGTTCAGGACAGCCACAGTACCCCATTTTGAGGACTCCTCATTGCATCAATTTTCTTGCTTGTCAGAGGCACTTGGAGGAAACAATGATCTGGCAGTTTCTGGGGAAAAATATCCTCTTGTTTAAATCATATTATAGAGGAGGTTTAATTGCTGCAGGTGGCAACATTCCTGGAGAGACAAATCACAGCTCCTGGCATCATCAGACTGATTTTCCCAAGGGAGGCATGGGCATTCCTCATCCTTTCTGTCCAACTGCGTTCCAAAGATTGCAGCATTGTGGTCACACCTAAAGAATGACAACCAGGGACTAAACCTCTCCACCCTGCTCCCTCCTGCCCACACACATGCTCTGCAGTTTCTAATAAAAGAGAATTTCCACCTAAAATGGGCAGTGGCAGTCACATGTCTGTCTGGCTTTCATGTTGGATTGATTGTTGCTGCATTTCTAAAGAAAAGTGCATATGGCCAAATGTGGAAGCCTTTAACTCAGTAAATTGTTCTGGTTTATAATGGTCCAGGAAGCATCCTTTCCAAAGAAAGAACATACCCCATCTAAAATGAAGAGGGCATTGTGTTTTGTTTTGTGTTAAATTTATCTTCATAACATTCTGCAAAAGCAACTGTGATCAGAGCCCAAAGAGGGAAGCATTTTATGAAGGAACCAGTCACCTGCTTATAAACACTTCTCATGTTATGAACACACGTTCATGCTCAGGTTCTCATCGCTTTCTCTCCAATAAACCTAGTCCCGTAGTTGCAAGAACACTGGAATTGGACTGATGTGGTCTGTTTTCAGAGTTGATTTTCAGTTGAAGGATTGGGGGCTTGTTAGCTGAAGTAGTTCAAGGATTGATATAGTCAACAGTATACCCAAGCTCAGAGTGGAAGTGACATATTTTTAGCCAAAGAAAGGGAGAATAATGGTTATAAAGCTGGAATATATTTGGAATTCAAACCCCAATGTTTTGGAAGTCATAGGAGAGCCAAGATCAAAATAGCCTGACCTGTGTTAATTCCTCCTGGACTTGCACTAGTACTAACTCTGGATGCAAACTAAAACCCTGGGCATGATCCCCTAAATACTGAGAAAAATTCCTTGTCCTGATTTTACTGTGATCCTCAACTCTACTGGAAGACTTATTTATTTCTTAAGCCAGAGGTCTTGTGCCCAGCTCTTGTTACCTACTCCAGAAGATAATGGAAAATTCTGCTGCTGTGTGGATGTGCTTTACCCAGGGGCTGCAACACTTGAAAAAGGTCATAAGAATAATCCCAAATTCACATAGTGTCCCTACCACTTTGGTATCCTTTATGGAGGCCCAATCTCTAATTGGGAGGACACGCCACATTGAACAAGGTGAATTCCTGAAGTGCTTAATGAGAAAAAGGGTCAGAGAAGAGCTTATGCAGCTTTTTTCCTTTATGCAGTGTCTTGCTAGGCATTTTTCCTGATCTTTCTGTTCTAGTATTCATTTGAGGAGCAAAACACTGGCTACTCTCTCAACATTTTTTCTTTCTTTCTTTTAAGACAGTATGTGTATTTATCAGGAAGGAAGACTAGGAGCTGAAAAATGAAAAACTCTTTGCTGGCACAAATAAAAGCAGTAGTAAGTCTATTGTAGGTAGATAAGTACATCCAAGTCAATATGAAAACACAGGGCTAGAAGGAGCAAGTTGGCACAGTCTGAGCCCATTGAAAAAGCACGCAGAAAACTCCTTTATGTGGTGACAGCAAAAATATTGAGCTAGGCAAAAAACAATAGCCATTCTGTAGAAATAGCAAACGGTGTCTTCAGGGATTGCCTGTCTTCAGTTTTTGACAGTGTGTAGTGCCTCATGCATGCTATCACTGTGCAGTTAAACAGAGTACACATCCACATAGTTCAGATTTGGAGAGCAAATGGAAAGAGCTTAACAAAGGCGGAAAGCAGCTACATGTCTGGTAGACTCTGAAGGCACCTAATTTGTAGGGTTTTATACAGTGTTTTAGTAATACTAGTTCCTGGCTAAAATTTGGACACTTAAATGAAAGCAAGCAAAATGCTGTAATCTGAGTGAATATCTACATTATTTGTAATTTATTGTGCAAACAAGTATACAGAAAAGGACATGTTAATTCTTAGCTGTCCTACTGTCAAGTTATTCAATAAAGAAATACCCGTGTGGCAAGAAAAGGATATGGAGTGAGAAGCTACCTCAGAGAGGTGGATTTTGATCTGGAGAAAGGATTGGAGCACAGTGAAACAGTCATCAAAGATACTATCTAAGTGCTGTTTTGTGCTATTTAGGTTAAAAAGATAGTGACTGCAAATTGGCAAATAAAACAGGGAATTGGGTATATATACCTTGTAGACACATAGTTGCTAGAGAGCACTGCATTAAGGCTTGTAACAACTTGTTAAAATATCCTTAGTTATTTATTACCAAGTGTCTTTGGGCTTTTAACATGGAATAATAATCATCAAATAAACGAAGAATGAATGTCTTATCTGCTAGTAGATACTAAATAACTAAATAATAGGCTTTCACAGGGGAAAAGGAAAATCAGACCAAAATTTAAGGGTAGTTCCAGAGTACATAGGAGGTGATAGTCACAGAAAACAACGACGCATGAATTCCATGCATGTGTAACAAAATAGAAACAGGACAACTAGATACTTAAATATTTGGTTACTGTTCATGAGGTCTTAAATTACATTTAAACCAAATCAAAATAAGAAACCCAAATAAATACCGTATCACAGAGTAATTCAGTAAATACACCTGGTTACATGGATTAAAATAGCTAATGATAAATGTATCTAAAGAAAATCATCAGAAGTAGCAAGACTGAGAAAATATTCAAAAGGTTACTTTAATAAGTTAAATATCAAATTATAAATATAAAATCAAGTTAAATATCAAATAATGTGATTTTATCATTTATTTTAGTGCAAATTTCTCTATAGAATAATAAAAAATTAGTCCTCCTCTACTTTGTCTCTGGTACTTGCACATTTCTGCTCTATAATGCTGTTTAGCACTTTCTAAAATAAAAGTTGCATTAAAAAATCTTTAACAAACATGTTGATTAATCTAAAATTAATTAAAATTGGTATATATTTAAACATATCTCTAGATTAACTCCATTTATAGAAACTTCAATAAAGTATGTATGTATCTTAATTTATATTTTGTAAGTACAAACACCTGCTTGGAAATTACCTCCCTTTATGCATGCCTTTTAATCAGTTCTGCACCTGCAGGTACACAAATTTTGGTATTTTCACCTGCAAAACCCTTTCTTTTGTTGTTTTTGGCTTTTGGCAAGCATTTGGAGAAAACTCTTGTTGGTGGTTGGTTCATGTTCTGTGAAAAATCAGCCAAAACCAAGTGAGCTGCTCTGCACTATAGAGTCATATCACAAAGACATGCACCGAGCACACAATCCTCATGGAGTTTCTTTACCAATATGCATTTCCATCCACACAAAAAGGTAAATATGTGTCTGTCTCCCTCTGGATCAATATGAACTCTGATGTAATAAGTAACCAGTTTTTTCTCTAGAGAGCATTTTGATGAGCATAGTTCCTGATTGCCCACGTTGTAGCTGATCATCTTGAGTTGGTTGATATTCTGGGATGTCACTGGAACCAGTCTGTAATCCCAGTTGCACCATCTCCCTCTTTCTGCACAGTTTCACGTGAAGCAATGTAGTTCTCAGGAGTGATCAGGCCATGTGCTGAGAGTTTGTTTCTGGCTGCTTGGATATCCACATCTGTTAGTCATAATAATAATTCTTATAGCTGCCTACTTTGGCCAGAAATTTGTCTTGAATGAAACCTTGATTTTGGTGCTAGCCTTCCTGCCTGTCTTAGCACAAACTTCTGAGATATCAGGACCCCCCTCCCTCGTGGCAGACACCAGTATCTCAAAGCAAGAAAGAGCTTGGAGGTGGAAAGTTGCAGACTGTTCTTCAGTCTTGTGAAATACTGCTATTTCCCATGTAAATTTCTTGAATAAAGCATATTTCTGTGTAAAGGGGACACAGTTTTACAGATGAGCAAAGTATTCTGTTAAGTAGTTAGGCTCCACTAGGCTGGGAGACCAAGTGTACCTAATAATCATCCAGACCAGGCTGTGGTAATGTGGGTTTGCTGGGAGACATCAGAGTTGCAGATGGTAGAGTTTGGAAATGGATAAGCAAAGAATTAACAAGGTAAACCAGGAATGTGCTTTCGAATCCTCCAGTTCTTGGTGAATATTTCTGCTTAAATGTTGATATAACTAACATGATAAAATCTTTTTGCTCCCCCTACAAGTTAATCTGGATAGGTATTTTTGCTAGTGCTTGTTTTCTTTTCCTCTCCTTTTGATTTATCTCTGAAAGCAGAAGCAAATAGTCCAC